AAAAAGCCCAGGGCCAGATGGTTTTAGTGCCCAATATTACCAGACTTTCAAAGAAGCAATAATCCCAATTTTTCCACATGCTAGAAACAGAAGAAACATTTGTCCAATTCTTTTTGTAAGATCACATTGCTTTGATACCCAAAGCAATGACACAATAAAGAAATAATTCTAAAGTATTTTCCATTGTGAACCCAGACAGATTCTCAATAAATACTACCAAACCAAATCCAAGAACACTTCAAAAAGATCATCCACTGTAATCAAGTAGGCTTCATCTCAGAGATGCAATGGTTCAACATACATAAATGGATAAATGTAGTCTATCATATAAACAAACTGAAGACCACTTGACCATCTCATTAGACATGCATAAAAGTCCTGTGACAAAATCCAACACCCTCTTATGAAAAAATGCCCTGAAGAGAATAAGGATACAGGGACATACATTAGTATAATAAAGTCCATTTACGGCAAGCTCACAGCCAACATCAACTTCCATGGAGAGAAACATTTTCACTAAAACCAGGAACAAGACAAGGCTGTCCACTCTCTCCATGTTTATTCAATACAGAACTTGCAGTCTTTGCTAGATCAATAAGACAACTGCAGAAGGTGAAGAGGACCAAATAGGAAAGGGGGAAGTCAAAATGTCTTTATTTGTAAGTGATATGATAGTATACATAAGTAAACCTAAACATTCAACCAGCAAACCTCCTCAGCTCACAAACACCTTCAGAAAAGCAGCTGGTTACAAAATTAAGTCGCAGAGATCAGTAGACACCCTATACACAAATTACAAAGGGACTGAGAAAGAAATCAAGAAAATAACACCCTTCTCAATAGCATCAAATAAAATATCTTGGGGTAACACTAACCAAGCAAGGGAAAGTCCTGGATTATAAAAACTTTCAGGCTCTGAAGAGGATAACAGAAAACCGAATTGTCTCCCATGCTTATGGACTGGTGGGATTAATATAGTAAAAAAAATGACCATGCTATTAAAAGCAATCTACAAAATCACTGAAATCCCATGAAAATTCCAACAAAATTCTTCACAGAACTTGAATGAACAATTTTTAACTTCACATGGAAACACACACACACACACACACACACACACAACAGGATAACTAAAAACAATGTGAATGATAAAAGACCTGGATATATCGCCATTCCTAATCTCAAATTATAATCCAGAACTGTAGTAACTGTAAAAAAGTAAACAGCATGGTATTGGCACAAAAACAGATATGTTGACCACTGGAATCAAATTGAAGACCCAGACATAAATCCACCACATACAGACACTTACTTATTGAGAAAGTAGCAGAAATGCACACTGGAAAAAGAATGTTCCTTCAATAAATGGTGCAGGTCAAACTGGGCGGCTGCACGTAGAAGAATATGAAGCGAGCTGTGTTTATCACCATGCACAAAACTCAACTGCAAATGGATCAACGACCTCAACATTTTTTAAAACCAGATACACTGAACCTGATAGAAGAGAAAATGAGGCCTTGAACTCATTGGCACAGGAAAAGATGTTCTGACCAAAACACAATTAACAAGTGGAACCTCATGAAACCAGAAAGTTTCTCTGTACAGCAAAGGATGTTGTCAATCAGACAATGTGCCAGCCTACAGCATGGGAAAAGGTTTTTTTTGTTTGATTTTACACAGAGGAGTAATATCCAAAATATGTAAAGGACCCAAAACACTAGGTTTGATGAGAAGAAATAACCCAGTTTAAAAAGGGAGTACAGATCTAAACAGAATTCTCAAATGACTCAAACATTTTTAAAAAGCTGGGTGGTAGAGAGAGGACCTAGACGGCACCTTCCCAGTATGCAAGAGGAAAGTCTCCAGGGACCCCCCCATTTTAAGTAAATAAGGGGTGGAGAATTAGGAGCATTATAGAGGTAGAGTGGTCCATACCCCATGGAAAGACACATAAAGGAAGAAAGGTAGTTGGAAAGGATTGGGCAGATGTTGGAGACCAGCTTGACACCTGTGTCCATTGTGATTGAGACTGGGGAGGGAGGTCTGTTTGCCACCTGGGACTGTGGCAATGTCTGGATCAGGCAGTTAGCACGGGCCATGTGTAGTTCTCTGGTCCTACAGTAGCCAGGGTCCGTTTTTATATCCATGGCTTCTGTTTCCGTCTAGTGGTGACTCCAGTAGGCTGGGCTGCCTCCTGGGGCCAGGATGGGGTTCAGGGGCTATGCTGCCACTGTGACTGTCCTCATCTGGGTAGCTTTTGCCATCACCTGAGGCCGTGGTAACAGCCAGGCTTAGGCTGCTGCCAAGGACCATGCCTCTGCCCATGATCCTACCGCAGCTGAGGTCTATATTGATGCCCATGTCCCCACAGTGCCACCAAAGGCCACATGAAGCCTGAGGTCTGGGCTGCATCCTGTGGCCTTCTTGGTGTCCATGGGGCCATGCTGCCATCAGAACCACCCTGATCTGAGTAACCAGAGCTAACTACCATTCAGAACAAGGATGTTGACAAGCTGTTGCCTGAGGTCATGTCTGGGTCAGTGGGCCCAGCTGTAGCTAGAGTCTGCACAGGTTACCAGTAGGACCAATACAGAGGCCCGGGATCTGGGCTGGAGCCTGAGGCTTGGAGGGGGTGGGGGGACACAGCACAGATATGGGTGACCTGTGCTACCACCCGGGACTAGGATGTTATCCAATACCAGGCTGCAGCCCAGGACCATGTCTGGGTCCGCGGCCCCACTGCAGCAAGGATCTGTGCTGATGTCCGATGCTCCTCCTACTATTGAAGGCTGTGCAGACACCCAAGAACAAGGGCCAACTTGGTGTCACAGGGCCACACTGCCGCTGAGGTAGTGATGATATCCAGACCCAGCTGCTGCTAAGGACCATATTGCAACTGGGGGTCTGACCTATAGTCTGGGTCCTACACTGCCACTAATGGTCACAAAGAGTTGGGGCTGCAATCTGAGGCCTTGGTGGTGTCCGGCAACCACATAGCGGCCAGACCCATTCCCAGCTATGTGGCCATTCCTTTCATCCAGAGCTAGGATGTCATCTGGGCCTAAGCTACTGCCAAGGGTCATGTCTAGTTCCATGATCGAGCCTCACCTGAGGTCTGTGTTGATGTCTGTGGCCAGTGGCACCTCAGGAGGCTCTAGGAACAATGTGAGATGAAATCAGAGGGCCATACTGAGCCAGCCCCTGGGACAGCTGGCCTTACCTCTCGCTGCCCTCTACAGCAAGAGAGCTGACCCCTTCACTCCTCACCATAGGCAAGGATGAGCCTGCCCTGAGGACATGCACTCAGGGAAGCTGACTCTGACACTGCACCTGAGGGGTGGCTCAGAAACATAGTTGATGGTGTTTGGTATTGACATTACATAAAACAGTGGTTCTCAAACTGGGAGTCAATAGCCTATTCACGAGGCTTGCCTAAGACCACTAGAAAACATAGATGTTTATATTGCAGTTCACAACAGTAGCAAAAGTATAGTTAGGAAGTAGCTACAAAACCAATTTTATGGTTATGTGTCACCACAACATACAAAAGAATGTCTACCACCAGGAAGAAAAAACACTGAAACATGTTCATCTTCAAGGAAATGCACACTGGGTGATATAAAGTTTAAACATTGCAATCTCACTTAAAATTTAAACAGTTATTTACTAATGTTGTGTAATATTAGAAAATTAGAGCCATCCGTGTAACCCACATAAACTCATTTTTATAAAAGGATAAAGTGGAAAGCCTAAAATCCAGTGTCAGCCTTTCACAGTCAGTTTGGCAGGATCAATCTGGAGCTGTAAAAGCATGCCCTTGGGCTTAGTAATCCCTTTCTGGGAACCACTCTTGAGAAAATAACTTAAAAGATGTACAAGATATAGGCTGTGCAGTTTTCCTCACAACATTATTTATATAATGAAAGAAATCCATAAGCTAACATCCTGACGATGTAGAAATGCAGGTTAGGTATGGTTCATTAATTTTTATTCAGTGTGGATGCATACAAAGGCTAGCAATGCAGTAAATGAGTTATTATGTAATGTTACATATAATGCAGTTATATCTTGGCTCCCATTACAAAGGAAGCTTTGTATTACCAAGTAAACATATGGGCAAGAGCAGATAGGGAAGTGAGAGCCTAAAGCAGTTTGATCAGAACTGGGGTGGGGATTGTATTTGTTTTACCCGTATCCATCTTGTGACAGTGTTCTGATACAATCAAAGCTTCTTAAACAGAAATGATAAATTGACATTCTTCCAAACAGTCGCTTCAACTTGGAATTGCTTCGTAATTATAAAGGAGACTTTAAGAACCATGCAATCCTCCTCCCTGCTGTCCTATCCCCTGCTATCATGAGTATCAATAAAGAACCTAGTGTTTGTGACTGGTCCATGCAGGGTAGATAGTCCACGTTGGGCCACTGAGAGTCCCCATCCTCTGCTGAGCAGCTAGCCATTTCCTTGTTGATCACAGCCAGAGATATGCTTCAGAAATATGTGTCCTGAACAGAAACAGGAAGCAAAGGACATGCTTGTGCCGCAGATGATAGGTCTCTTTCCAGTGGTAAAATAGTGTTGTTTTTGTTAGAGTGTTCTATAAAACTTGTATATAATGTATCTTGTGCTATAGAAAGGTTCTTTGGACCATAGCTTGTCTTTGTTTCCAGCTTAAGCCTCAGGTCAACATCTTGAAGAAACATTTGGTGTAATATGTCATTGGGGTTTTCCATTTTCTGCCCCTTCTCTTGATCTTTCTTTCAGATGGAGGCAGTTTCAATGGCGGTTGATGCCCGTGGGCTTTGGCTTTGTTTGTGGGTTCTTACTTTCTGATTCTGGAAGCCACTCACAAAGATAGCCTTGACCGAGGGGAATTTCCTACTTAGTGAAACAAATCTGCCAAGCAGGAAAAAGGCTGGGGGCAGGTACTCAAGGCGTTCTTGACGCCTGCCAGGAACGTGGACTTGGTGTTAACACATATCACGAACATGTTTTCCAGGGTGGATCACTTGTACACCTTCTTTGTTCAATGGTCTCCAGATGTCTATGGGAAAGACGCCAAGGAGCAAGGCTTTGTGGTGGTAGAGAAGGAAGAACTGAACATGATTGACAATTTCTTCAGTGAGCCGACCACCAAGAGCTGGGAGGTAAACACCTGAGTCGGAAATAGACTGTCATAGCCCCAAAATGATGTTCAGATTCCAAAAGCTATGAAAAGCTGATATTCTTTTTTTAGTTTTCTAACCACTTCGAATACATTCTGAAACTTTGTCTCGTGTGACTTATAAAAATGGATGATAAGCCGGGCAATGGTGTCGCACGCCTTTAATCCGAGCACTCAGGAGGCAGAAGCGGGTGGGTCTCTGTGAGTTTGAGGCCAGCCTGGTCTACAAAGCCAGTTCCAGGACAGGCACCAAAGCTACAGAGAAACCCTGTCTCGAAACAAAAACAACAACAAGAATAAAATAAAATTAAATTAAATTTTAAAAAGATGATATAAGCTTGATTTGAGTGGCAGTTACAGTTTTGCCAAGCCTGAGTTTCATTCATCCAATTAAACCATCATGTGTCAAGTACCCCTTGTGGGACAGAGTGGGAGGAGGTAGCATAAAGATGGATAAGATAGGTATCTACGTGTGATGAACTTACAGAACTGAGATGACAAATGAGAGGACAAAGGAGTGTCTCTCACTCCCTCCTCGTTTACGCCTGCTTTTTGTCTTATGGATCTCTCTGAAGCCTGGTCCTTTGACTCCGTACTGTTCTGTATCTACCTGAGACCTCTCAGAGCTTCTCTGCCCTTCTGTATGAGGGAAATGGTGAATGAATTCAGGGACATCCCCACTGCCGATATCAGGGCACATGAGTTGCTCCATGGTCCCTCCATCCTGCATAGCTGTCTAGACCGTTGTATTCCTGGAGGGGGAATACCTCACACTCACACTCACACTTGCTCTGATCATAGGTGGTCTGTGTCAATGCACAGACAACATAACAACCACAAACTAGGCGTGCTGTCACATACCTGGTGTCCTACTACTCCATAGACAAAAACTGAAGGGTCACTTGAGTCCAAGAGTTTGAGATCAACCGAGGCAGCATGGCTAGGGCTCATCTCAAAGCACAAAACAACGCAAAAGCCACAAACCAGGGAGAATGGTACCAAGGTGGGTGGATGATTTCTGAATCCATCTGGGTCCTCCCTCACTCATAACTAGAAATCCTCCCTTTTCTAACCTCTCACCATTCCTCGTAAGTTTCCGTACTCACTTCAGCATCCATGCATCCCAGGCAGCATCCATGTATTCCACAGCTTGGCCTGCCTTTGTCTTATGAAGAAGCAGCAATTGGACAAATTTACTTTCTGGTACTCCCTCCCCTGCATTTTAAATTATCAACGGTTGCATTCTTAGTTTATGGCTCTGGGGGTTTGGGTGGGGGGGGAGAAGCTCTTTTCTTCTCTAAGGCTGACTTCTGTTTTATTAACCACAGCTATCTATCTTATGTGTCTTTAAAGGCCTTCCCCTTCCTGTCTGCTTCCTTATCTTTCACCAGGATATAGTATTTCCTTGGTTTCTTAAAGAAAAAAATAAAGGAAGAAACATCCCATCTCCTTTAATATCCTCTGTGTGTGTGTCTATGTGTATGCATGTGTTTGTGTGTCTGTACATATCTGTGTGTGTGTGTGTGTGTGTGTGTGTGAAAAACACCCCTGTTCCTCACCTTCATGGTTGTGAAGGAGACTTGTGAAATCCCATAGGATAACAAGCTTTTAATCTTCAGCATATTCAGGAATAACTCATTATCCTCCAGAATTCTTGTTTCTGCCCCCATATTTATATCTTAGTGGCGTCCAAGCCACAAACCCAGGTGTAATACTAGATCCTTCTTTATCCTCTTGACTAGGGAGCTCCTCTCTAGTCACAATCACCTTCACTACAGTATTTTTGGTTTTTTTCTGTTTTGTTTTTTGTTTGTTTGTTTGTTTAGGTTTTTTTTTTTTTTTTTTTTTTTTTTTTGAGACAGGGTTTCTCAGTATTGTTTTGGAGCCTGGAACTAGCTCTGTAGACCAGGCTGGCCTCGAACTCACAGAGATCCTCCTGCTTCTGCCTCCCGAGTGCTGGGAATAAAGGCGTGTGCCACCAATGTCAAGCTAACTCTGGTTTTAAATGCTGCAGACTCTTCCACCAATCTCCCTAGCCAGTCCTTCCTTATTCAGCCAGGATTTCTGACCTCACTTGGATTCCAGTCCCAGCACACCCACCTGCCTATCTTCACCCATACTCGAGATCTTCAAGCACACCTTATGTCTTCATTTTATAAAAGCAATGTGTGCCTATTGTAAAAAATCCATAAAAAGTAGTACACAGAGAGTTAAACATAAATGTAATAATACTTGTCACATTCGTATATCTCTTTGGAATGTATTTTCTATTTTGTTTCAGGTCTTAGTAGCTGTTGAGGGGGAAGGCTCCTCCTTTTCAATCAACAAAAAGATTATTTTCTAAGTAGTTTGTACATGGTTTTTCCCACCTGACATCACGTAAGAATTGTTTTAAGTTTCTGAGAGCCTCGGTTTTAATGGTTGCCTTTGTTTGTTTGTTTGTTTGTTTGTTTTAGATAGGTCTAGGCAGGCCTGCAGCTTACTCAAATTCAGCCTGGCCTCAAGCTTAAGATCTCCTGCTTCAGACTCTCAGTGCTGTAATTATAGATACAAACATGCATCACCACCCTCCAACTAGTTTCTACCTGTTTTATATCTGTAATAATTTATTGTTTCTCACTTGAATCAATATGCTGTTTCAATCATTTCACAAGAATGAGATCAACCTCAATTATTTAGATTTTTTTTTTCCTGGATGGAAATTATGAGGTATAAGGACAGTAGATTTCTAATGCTCCTGTATTTTATGCGTCACCAATTTAGTTTGCCGGCAGTGTGAGGAATTTCCCACTGTGTCTCTGCCAGAAGAAAGGATTGTCAATATTACTCCCTTTTCTTCTTCCTAAACATACTTGCTAAATTGGAAAGTGAGTAATGTTATCCTGCAGTTTAATTTTCATTTACTTGACTATTGCAATGAACTTGTGCAATGAACACATTTATACACAAGTTAGCCACTTGCCAGTTCTCAGTTTTACAGCTTGTTTCTCTAGAGCAGTGGTTCTCAACCTTCCCAATGCTGTGACCCTTCATACAGTTCCTCATGTTGTAATGACCCCCCCACCATAAAATTATGTCATCCATGCTTCATAACTATACTTTTGCTAGTTGTGACCTGTAATGTAAATATCTTATTGCAGAGTCTTTAATATGCAAACCCTAACATTGAGTTCTTGTGTTGAAAGAGATTTTTTTCCCCTCTATTTGACAGATATTCCTTCATTTACTGTTTGTCTTTTAATTTTATTGGTAGCTTTTGTTTATAGTTTTCTAGGTTTCTTTTTAACTAGTTCTGTAGTTGAATTTTTTTTGTAATAATTTTCCTCATCACTATTGAGTGATTTCTGAGATTTTCTCCATCATGTTGAAAGGTCTTAAGTGTGCATTGTCTACTTTACTTACCATTTTAATACACAAGGATGATCATACACTCTCAGGCTTAAAGCTCTCAGTACCATGTCCCTATCTTTCCACGCCCATGGCCTATAGTAATTATTAATCACCTTGCCCATCGATGCAATAACTCCTTGGGGATTTCAGGTGTTTGTCTCTCTCTGTGTATGTGTATGTGAGTATGAAGGGATGGATGATGTCTGATACATCCTAACTAGTGTGCATGTCCCTGTGCATGCTTGAGAAGGCCAGAGAAGGATCCTTTGTGTCCTGCTTCATAATTTTCTACTGTATTCCTTTGGGATACTGAACATTAAGCTTACTGAACATATAAATCCTCCTGTTTCTACCCACCAAGGTTCTGGGGCTACAGATCTTCAAGTGGCCATCCTGGCTGGCCTTTTGTAGTGCTGGGATCTGGATTCAGGTATCAGTGCTTTCGCAGGAAGTAGTCTTATACATGGAGCCACATCTCCAGCCATTTAGATTTTTATAATGTTGAATCCTAGACCCTCACCTCAGGATATATTGCTTTAGTAAGTCTAAAGGAAGACTGTTAGAATCTATATTCTTCAGAGCTCCAAAATGAATCAGCAAAACAGCAAGGTTTTAGAGGTTCTCTCCTATGTGACAAGACCCTTTCAAGACGTTAACGTTCCTCACATTTCCAGATCTTACCCACCTCCCTTGTCTCTTGTCCAACGGTTTTCTTTTTACACCATCATGAACCTGGAGCCTGTGTCTGTCTCTTGCTGCACCCTGCACCCGGTATATCTCTCCACACCCCACCCTGCTTACAGAGGGAACCACCCTCTCCCCTGTGAATAAGCCTTCTCGGGACACACCAGGTGTCCCCAACCTCCCTTGAGCCTCAGGAGCTGTCAGTTTCTTTATTGCATGTACTGGCATTTGTTTGTTTACAAGTTCATCTTCTGTCACTCGTCCATAGAAACTAAGGACTGCTTTGTGTCCCTGTGCCTAGCAAAGCACCTGGTACTGCCCAGAACAAGGAAGCGCCTAATAAATGTTGGCACTCTCCAGCATCCAGGAAGCACTTAATTAATGTGATCTATCATGAAATGCCAGGCACTGAAAAAGTTGCTTCTCCCAGGCACAGAATCCAAGTGATTCTGCCCTAGGCTGTTAGGTGTGTACATGGAGGATCGGTCCTTGGCTGACATGTGATGTCCATTCATCTCCAGAGTGCTATTTATAACCTACCCCAGGGCCCTGAGTCTCCAGCAGCCCCTGGGACTGCAAGTCCCCAGCCGTGTAGAAGAGTAACAGAAAGACAGGTGAAAACTGATCCGTTGCAGATCTGCGTTGCTGTCCAAACCTGCCATCTGATCTGAGAGACAAAGGAGGACCCGGCAGATTTATCAGTCGCTAAGACGCAGTCTGCAGTGTAAAAAGATAAACTGTACATGGCCACCTGTTTTGTCAAACTGCACGTAAGACGGCATCGTTCATAGCCTCCTGTAAATCAGATGTGCCTGCACTCTTCCAAGTAGCCCACGCCAACAAACTCTAAATGTACCGTAGAAACTAATGTCACTGTAGTGAGCCTACCTACCTATGTTAGAGGCTCTGCTTGTTTTAAGATTCAAACTGATGCTGGGAAACGACACCACATTTAAAATGGAGGATTAGCCTTATAGAAGGAGCTGAAGGAAAACCCTGAAGAGACAGGGTAAGCACAGCTTAGTTACCTACCCAGAGGGCATAAGGATGAAGAGTTGGTTCCAGAAGAGAGGGGAAAAAAAACCCTGGAACAATGGGGTTTTATTGTACTGTTGGGACGTGGGTTTCAAAGGTGAAAGTGTCATTTTACATACTCCCCGCTCTGCCTGACAGGAAGTGTGCCTGCTCTAAATCCTAATTTGGGTGTGTTCCTGTAGAAACGTTGAACCCCCCTCCTGAGGGAAACAGAAACTCAATCGTTCAGGAAGCTAGATATTGAAAAACAGTGTAGCTCAGCCTGGCAGCCAGTGGCTGGTGTGCAGGCAGCCAGAGAAAGACCTGCTTCTCTCTCTCGAGTAGCCACAGTGTCTCTACTCTCCCAGCACAATGAGAGGCAGAGGACTGCCCCTGGACATTCAGATTTTCTATTGTGCCAGACCTGACCAAGAGCCTTTTGTGAAGGTAGGTGGAAGGTGTCCCGTGCCGGGTAGGTAGGCGCTCTGTCACAGCCATGTGGTGAAATCCTTCTTATTAGGAAGTATTGTGCTGGCATCTCACCCAGAGCATGGTCTTGTACTTGCTGTGGAGGGTTTTCCCCCTCTCTCTGAAATCCAACATCCTGGACTTGACTTTTTCCATTTCACAGTTTCATTGTGTACTGTTAATAATTTGCAGAGTTTGAAAATAGAAACAAAAACAAAGTGCTTTGTTTTATATGTTTAAAATGTTAGATTTGTGATTCTTTGAAAGTGTTTCTATAACTTCTCCATCAGAATATAGGGAAATTCAAATCCGGCTCAGAAAATGAATAATTTGTGCATGCCACTGTGCATTTTGGAAGCCAAACAATGCATCACCTGATAACTTTCACTAGATGTAAATGAGACACCTTTTCTCTGTAATAACAGCTGTCACTGCCGCTGTACCTGGGCATTTTAGAGAACTAGTTAGTTAACTCTTAATGTTTCAAAGCCATGTGGTGATTTACTGAGAACTTAAGGGAACAAAAGGTGAGGACTTTGCGAGTTCATAAACCTAACTGTATTTAAATAATAGATGTGTGTAATATAATGCCTTTCAATTTAGAAGGGGAATGCGTGATCGTTGTGAGTTGTGTAGAATAAATCATAACCTAGTTGTAATTTAAAGTAAAGCTCTCTGTGTCTCCCGTTTGCTTCCAGTAGCTGCTATCATTCATTATTTCTATTAGACTTGGTTGCTATGTACACAACCAGGAAGGTTGATTAAAAACTCTGTTTCTCACTCCCAACTCCCTATTTATATAGATTTTTTGAAGGCTCTCTGATTATTTCCTTCACAATTTAAATTTGTACACGCAGGCTAAAAGAGCCTGACTGAAGTGTTTGTTTTCAAGGCTGCAAACGTGTGTGGAGTTACACATGGTCTGAGCATGCAGCAGCAAGAGGAAAAGTGGAAACCCTGTGACTTGAAATCATGCATACTAAATGCTCAGCTGTCGCGGTTTAAACTCTGCATTTGTTCTGCGTTTGAAAAGTAGTCATTTCCCCAAAGCCCCTTTCTGTTTATCTCCTACTACCCAGCACGCCACCTTTCCAGTCAGCTGTGTGTTGGGGTAGTTTGTGGGAAAGCGCACCTCATCCTCTACATTGGGTTGCTTTTGTCCTCGCTTCAGATCATCACTGTTGAAGAGGCAAAACGAAGGAAGAGCACTTGCAGCTACTATGAGGAAGAGGAGGAGGAGGAGGAGGGACTGCCCATCCTGCAGCCCCATAGTGCCCTCCTGGAGAACATGCACGTCGAGCAGGTAAATTCCCTCTCAGACTGAGCACTATGGCCTTCCAGGTCTCAAAAAAAGTGTCCGTGGCCCATGGCCACCAGTGGAACAGTCAGGGGAGCAAGTGGAGATGTGGAGCCTAACCACAGGCAGCAGGCCCTTTCCCTCTTAGGAAAAGTCACAGCAGCCTTCCCCATAGCCTTCCTGAGAATATGGGAAGCTTGACAAGGCCTCCACATCCTCCTTCCAAACCTGAAGAGAAGGCATTTCTTAACATTAAAAAAAGGGGGGGGGGAATGAGATCTCCCATAGTCCTAATGCACCTAAAAAGGATCCAACTTCATCCTAGCTAGTGTAAATACCTTTAATTTCTTAGGCTTTAATTTTTAAAAATGTAATAAAGCACATGAACTTTCTTGCTTTGTGATGAATACACCACCTGCCTCCAGGGAAGATTTTGTGCTTTCTGAAAAGTCTGCCTCTTGAATTTTGTGAAATACTATGTGCTCAGTAAGCTAGATGTGGCATCTCTTACTTTGCTCACCAATTAGCTTAGGGATGTGAATGTTTGAAATTTTAAGACTCACACCAGGCAAGCCCAGAGTCCTGGCCAGACACCTGTAGAGGTGGGCTTCATGCTGCCACTGGGGCTGATTTCCAATGCTCAAATGCATTACATTTCATAACTGCTTTGATAACATTTCTTGGATACTCTTAATCAGTATTTATCGCGTCTAAGGTTAAACTGAATATAGATGAGAGATGTCAGAGCAAGGTCCCTCTGAACCCTCGTATCAAACATCTGTTCCTCCTTGCTTGATCTATAGCAGCTTTAAACCTGTGCAAAATCAGAACAACTGGAAAAATAGAAAATGACAAAAGCCAGATTTAACTATAAAGGGAAGACTATTCTAGTTAATACCCCTTTGGCCAGCTTGATCCGTGGGAGTCTTCAAATATACAGTCATGCACTAATAGGGACACTTTGCTCTGTGATGCACCACATAATCATCCAGTGATATTGTAGCTTCTTTGGTTTGTGTTAAGAATTTTCTGAGACATCCCAATTACCCCATCGTCTCAGAAGATGTTTCTCAGAGTATGTCTCTTATCAGTGAGAAACACAGGACTGCAGGATGACTTTGGAAGCTCACAATAAGACTCTGAGTGAGTGACTCATCTTCTGGGCAGTGTCCTGGCCAAGGGAAACACTGTCCAGATTTCCCTTCTCTTTCTTGGCCAGTGAGAACAAATGTTTGCCAGGGCAAAACAGGTCAAGATGTAAGTACATGATTCTTTAGTTCATGCCACAGGCACTTATTTAATGTACTGGTTCATGACTGACAAGTAGTTAAGATGCCTGTTTGTATTTCTTCCTTGGATTGGCAGCTGGCCCGATGCCTTCCAGCCAGGGTACAAGGCTATCCATGGAGACTGGCCTACAGCACGTTAGAGCATGGAACAAGCTTGAAAACTCTATATAGAAAATCAGCATCTCTAGATAGTCCTGTTCTGCTGGTCATCAAAGACATGGATAACCAGGTGAGGCCTGTTCCTCTCACAGAGAACATGGGTGTTCTTCTGGAAGTAGGGTCACATGTAGCTTGGGGTATATAACCTAGAGTGCTTTTGAACTTCTGATCGTCCTACCTGTTGATGGAAATTTCTGTCCCACCCAGTCCTGCAGCCGTTTAATTCCCAAATAAACACACAGAGGCTTATATTAATTATAAACTGTTTGGCCAATGACTCAGGCTTCTTATTGCCTGGCTCTCTCTTAATTATCAACACATAACTATTAATCTACATATTTCCACATGGCCTTATCTTACCGGAGAATGCCCAGACATCCTACCTTCCCAGTAGCTACATGGGATGTCTCTCTGGTGACTGTTCCTTGCCTGTCCTCTTCCCAGAATTCTCCTAGTCTGGTGGCCCTACCTGTACCTCCTGCTCGACTACTGACCATTCAGCATATATTCATAAGAGAAGCATATATTCACAGCATACAGAAGGACATCCCCCATCACCTGCCTTCACCTTCTGAGTGCTAAGATTATTAGTGTTTGCTACACAGCTGGTTATATGGTTTTAGGAATTAATCCTAGTACTCCATACATGCCCGACAAACTCTGCTAACTAAACTATAGCCCCACCTGAAAAGGTGTCTTAGTGATAAATTTTAAGGCTATCCAACAGGTGAGGTAGCAGTTGTGCATGCCTTTAATCCAGCATTTGGGAGGCAGAGACAGGAGGATCTCTTTGAGTTCAAGGCTAGCTTGAACTCTACACAGAGAGTTCCAGGACAGCCAGGGCTATACAGAGAAGCCCTGTGTCAGAAAACAAACAAAAAGAAAGAAAGGGAGGGAGGGAGGGAGGGAGGGAGGGAGGGAGGGAGGGAGGCAGAAAAAAGAACACCCAACAGTAGAGAAACTAGTATAGCAACTCCCATGCTCAACCTAAATGGGTTTTGCCATGCTTGCTTTATGTACATTCCTTCTTGTTTTTGTTTGCTGATGTATTTGAAATCCTAATCTAAAGAAAATGGAGTGATTACATCCTAAGGAATCTTCTCCTTGTGCTGACCATGGAGTAGAAAGCAATAACCTTCAGCTATTTAAACCTGGAAGTTAAGGGACAGTCAAGTCTATAGTCGCAAAAACAATCCCCATGACATCCCAGAGATTTCCCAAGGGTCTTTTCCCAGAGCTAGTGCCCACTGATATTGCTTCCTGGGTGGGGGATGGTCAGGCATCTGTGATCTGGCTCTGGGGTCCAGTGGTTCAGCAGCCGTGGGAAATCCTTTCCTGATACTACTCTTACCTGTGTGGTGGGTACCCTTTCTGTGATGTGCTCGAGCAGGGTAGAAGCCCATTCATTCTACACCATCGCGTTCTTCTTCAAATCAGCTTACACTGTGCATGGAATGCATGCAGACTGCTGCCATTTGCTGCTCAATCAGGCTGTTACATTGCAAGATCGTTAACTAATTAATTCATCAATCAGGTTATGGCTAATCAGCACCTGTTCTGTACAGTGTGGGAAGCTGTCTTTTCAGGGCTGCAGTCAGAGCCAGCCAGGCAGCCCGACGTTCATACCGGGTAGGGGGAGTGTGTACTAAGGAAAGGCTAGCTAAAGGAGTTAAAGGAAAATGGGAGACACCCCAGAATAGACGTCAGGAGGGCAGATTCAATTAATACTGAATGCTGAAGGCCTCAAGTTTATTTTTCACCACTCTTATATACCTTAACCAAAAACGGGAACATGGTATCATGTATACAGAACAGACTTTTCCTCATTTCTCCAAGGATTCACTAACCATGTCTTAGATTCAACTCCTCATTATCTGGCCTTGAGGATCAGGAGTAACCACATCTCAGACTAGGTCTGAGGATTGAAAATCCTACTGTAGCTATGCTTTTGACCTTATGACTTACTAAGGACAGTTTTTGAACTCTCTGCCCTTGAGTCAAGATGGAGTGGAGCCAGCTTTATGGGCACCAACAGTACAGGACATCTCAGGTTGGACATTCTTCATCCAAGCTTCTTGGGATAAAATTGTTTTGAAATTTGGATTTGGGAGAGTCATGGAATATTTGTATATATATATATAAGGAGATATCTTCAGGGATGGGATCACAGTTGCTTCACAGCAACACTCATACACACACACACACACACACTTTTGCTCATGAAACAGGTTCTTGGTGCAGATTTTTCTATTTATGGTATCATGTTGGCACTCAGAAACTTTGCGGTTTGGGAAGTTTTCAGATTCATGTTGCTCAGCCTGTGTTGCTCCTGGAGCATCTTAACTATGAAGCATAGTTCTCTGTCCTGTCAACTTACCTGCCTGAGTAAGGGATATAACTGGGATACTTTTAAAAGAAATATATATAACCATGTAACCTACATCTAATCCCATTACTCGGAAGGCAGAGACAAGTGAATCTCTGTGAGTTCAAGACCAGCCTGGTTTATAAAGTGAGTTCCAGGCCAGTCAGGGCTGCACAATAAATAAAAAAAGGTTATGGTCCTGATGAGGTCACTGAAGACATGGTCTTTATGGCTTTATTGCAATAATAAGAATTGTGGAAAGGAGAGATGCTATTATTATTATTATTATTACTACTACTATTATTAGATCATGGCTGATAACATCTCATTTAATAATGAATAACGAGTATAGTTAAAGTGAAAGTTGAAATAATAAAAGTGTAGTGAAGTCGCATAGGAAGTTATGAAATGTTAGAAAAATAAGGTGCTATGTCTTAGATAAAGTATGACTAGACACATAAATTGGTTACAAAATGTACATTAGTTTCCTATCTGTTTATCAGTGATATCAAACTTGAAGACTAAAAGGACCATATTGAGAAGTTATCAATGAGGCACAGTCTCACCAAGCTCTCTGCCAGTGATGCTATAACAGAGGCCTGAGTCTTAAGCTTAGCTTTTGTCAGAGAGTAGAGCAGTAGCTCTCAACCTTCTCTTAATGCTGTGACCCTTTAACAGTTCCTCATGTTGTGGTGACCGCCCCCCCAACCATAAAATTATTGTGTTGCTACTTTGTAACTATAATTTTGCTACTGTTATGAATCATAACTGATATACCTATAATCTTATCTGATATGCAACTCCTCTGGGGGTCATGATCCACGGGTTGAGAACTTGGGCCCTAGAGATGCTTGAGCAATTGAAGACACTTGGACATTCCAGCTCCTCCACCCTAAGAAATAAGGAGACGTTGCTGTTTGTGGGAATATAACAGAGTTATTAGAAGCCAATGTTACAAATGCAGAATGAGAGTGAGGAGCTGTACAGAATCAGTGAACGAACCATGACTGCTGGGAATTATAAAAACAAATATGCTTTAAAGTCCCTGGAAATTGTCCTCAAGGCATGCAGCAAATGAAGAAATATTTATTCAAGAAAATCTAATGAATCTCAGTAATAACAATGAAATTCTTTGGCACTTGAGACACAACCCACTTCCCATCCCTCCATCAACTCCAGCTCAAACCTGAAGTTTTTCTCTGGGTCTGTGTAGCCCAGGAGTTGGGGTTCCCTCTTGTCTCACTACAAGTCACTTGTCCCTTCCAGGGCCAGGCGCCCAGCACTTCTTAAACCCCTGCTCAGCTCAGCATTCAAGAGATGAAAATGCAGATAAGGATGGCCTAGAGGTAGAAGACCCTTTTCCTCCATGCAGTCCTTACTGTGGTAGATGCTTTGTCAGAGAGATGGCGGGTTGTGAATACCGGATGCCCCATTGTTCTTGGTCCAGCATTCGATGCGCATTGTCTGAGACAAGCCAAGGCCAGACCTGCACTTGGCTAATAGAGCAAAGTTGTTTTTCTGAGAAGTGTAGCCGAAGCTCCAGTTCAGTGGCTTAGGAACTCGTTCCAGGAGGAGAGGTTGGCCATAGGACTTGGATCCCTGACAGCCTCTCCACGGAGCTGGGGCATGGCTTTAGATGAGTATACAGAAGTTCAAGGCCAAGGGCATTCCCAGCAGTGATTACATTTTAGCTCTAGACAGTTGAGAGGAGTTGAGTTCTCCACAAAGACAATGAGCTACACTGTTTTGAGTCTCTTACCAGAAAGAATCTGGAAAAGAGATAAATAGAATCTTAGAGTTGGGGATAACTTCACAAACTCACTGAGGACAGTATCTTTGCCCCTTTGCAGTCAAAGCAAACTATCCAGTAATTTATAACACACGGAATTGTTAGAATAGCAGCTCTTCAGCAATTAATAGACCGGAGTTCATGCTAACAGCATTGGTGAGGCAGAGAAATGTCATGCCTCTATTATAATATTTCACCATCCCACTGTTTATGATACTGTTGTTACCCATGTTGTACCCATATAGATTACAGACCCAAAGCAAACTGTTAAGACGGTTAATGCTACTACTTCTTATTTTATAGCTACTCATGGAGCTGAGTTGAGAGCAGGCCTGCCATTCAGGTTTGCAGTTGCAGCTACTCTAGGGGCACATGAAACTATCTCAAAAGAAAAAGAATAAAAAGTTTCGGGTGGTAGGCCAGAGTCCTTTTCTAGCATGTGTGAGGTGTGAGAACCTAAGTTTAATCCTTAGTACCACCAAAAAATAAAGAAAGAAAGAAAGAAAGAAAGAAAGAAAGAAAGAAAGAAAGAAGAAGCTGAGAGAAAAGAACAAGAAAGAACATTAAGACATTCACATGTTTATCATATTAACCTTCACTATATCATTTTCCAGTTTTCTTTCATTGTATAGATTCTTTTTCCAATTATTGCCTAAATGTATTGGATTTTCATTATGTACAAATCGGTTTATGTACTTTTGCACTAAATAAATAGAACAAAGAGTATAGATATTTGTTTACATAGTTCCTGAGCAACAAACCCAATACATAGCCCTGGTATTACTCGAGTCCTTAAGTAGATTTCCATGATCATTTAGCTGAGAAATATTATTTAGAATTTTGTAGAGGGTGGGAGAGTCTAAAAGGAGCCTATTTCCCACCTGTTACCCTCTTGTCACATTTTGAGATCATGCTTTTAAAAAAGATGCCCCTCTATTGTATCCCAATTTCATTACTATTGTTTTTGTTGTTGTTGTTGCTATTTTGGTTTTCCGAGACAGGGTTTCTCTGTGTTGCACCTCTATCTGTCCTGGAACTCACTTTATAGACCAGGCTGACCTCAAACTCATAGAGACCCACCTGCCTCTGCCTTCCGAGTGCTGGGATTAAAGGTGTGCACCGCCACCACCACCTAGCTCCAATGCTTTTATTAAGAGAAGATAAAATAATTTTTTATATTTTATTACAAAATATATATTGTTTGTCTTTGTTTTTAGCAGTTGTAGAGAAAATCTGGGGTTAGGAAGTATGAAAATCTTTATTTAGCGTTAAAATCTCTAATGTTTAGTGTTTTAAATAGAGCTAGTGAAGAAGGGGGCACACAGGGATTTTGACACAGTTGAAGTAGTGTTTTTGAAAAAAAAGTGAGACATTTCCAAATAACCTCTATTAAAGCAGTGTTTCTCAAGTATGCTCTGGAGTGGAAGATACATGAATTACTGAGTGGATATATATAGATCTCCATCTCCAAACTCGTATCCATGTGTACTGATTAGCATGGGAACACATGGGCAGAAAGCTGAGGCTGCCCCTGGCCATATTCTGTAACATTACTCGCCTGCCTCCCAATAAGAAATAGAAGAAGAATCAATGATGTAAAAAGCATGAGAGAAAGCAGCATGAGAGAAAAGGATGCCATGCGACAGAGTTCAAGCAGAGGGTTGTTGTTTTCCTTTTAATTGGGGGAAAGGATTGTAAAAAGGGAAAGGGGAGTGGAGAGACTGGTCTCCCCGGGGACAGGAGCAGTGGGAGAGAGGGAAGAGAGGCAGAGAGAGAGGGAAAGAAAAGGAAAGACGGAAAGACAGAGAGGGAGAGGAAGAAAGAAAGGAAGGAGGGAAGGAAGGAAGGAAGAAGACAGAGTAGGGAGAGAGGGAGGGAGGGAGGGAAGGAGGAGGGAGGGAGGTGGGCAGGGCCCTTTTAAAGGGAACATGGTGAATAGGCAGGTGAATCTCTTGGTGGCAGCAGCTGAGGGTGTACCCTGCCTATCAGGACTCCAAAGGCAGGCATTACAAAAGCCTAAATACTAACAGTAAACACATCACATTTAAAGTCAGGGGTTTTTGTTTTTGTTTTGTTTTGTTTATTAAAAGTCATTCAAACTAAGTATACTGATCTGTCATATTTAAGCACTTTATGACTCATTATTAAAAACTGAAAGGGAGGAAAGTTTGTTTCCTCTGGGGCAATGTCCAGCCTGGATCTCACATATAAAATACATAAGAAAGCCAGACATGATGGCTCACACCTATAAGCTCAAGATGCCAAAGCAAGCACAGTGTGTGGACGGCTAGTGGTCAACCTAGCTACATAGAGAGTTTCAGGCTAGCCTATCCTATATTATAAGACTCTGCCTCAAGAAACAAAAGTAAACATAAACTAAGTCATTCTAGAGATGAGATTGTGTTCCGTCGAGCACTTATGTCCACGTATAGCATGCATCTGTTTGTTGTTCTCCATATTTGGCTCAGCGGTCTTTTAATGGCTGAATTGTTGGCCTTTAACAAATATATTCTCTGAGCTTCTCTGATGGATTTTCCATGTACCAGGAAGCCTGGCCACATGGGTTCCAGTTAGAGCTGGGGATATTGTGGTAATTGCTTTGTTTGATGTTTTTCCCCCCCACTTAAGAGTTCTAATTTAGTACTAACCTTTGCTGGAAGAGTTATAAGATCAGAACAATAGTGTGTCAAAAATATTTCAGAAAGCCTCTCTATGGGAGTTTAGTTTTTAAAATAACCACCTCTTCTGTTTTCTTTGAATAGCTATTTGGGGCATATGCAACTCATCCCTTCAAGTTCAGTGACCACTATTACGGCACAGGCGAGACATTTCTCTACACCTTCAGTCCTAATTTCAAGGTACCTGCGTGTGTGAAGTCCCTGAATGGCCAGTGTTGTGTTGTCAGCAGTCGGGGTGGGTGGGGTGCCCAGACACTGCTAGCAGATGCCTTGTCTGTCACCTGAACCTTCACTGTGGCACACAGACTACCCAGAGACCCCACCTTAGGAGTTTCTCAGTCTGAGATACGGGAAGAGACTGAAGGTCAGAGCCAACACATTATGGAATGGTCTTTACTATGTCATAATCATTGGTGACCTCACTGTGGCATTCTGTCAAATGCCTCCTTAGTCACCGGTGTGCTTACCTTACACACAACATGATGTCATTTCTGCTAACTCCCCACATTGAAATGTCTATCGCTGTCTTGTGTTTCTGCCCTAGGTCTTTAAGTGGAGTGGTGAGAACTCGTATTTTATCAATGGAGACATCAGTTCTTTAGAACTCGGTGGTGGAGGGTAAGATTCCTGTGCTTTTTGTTGCGGGAGGTTCGGCTTTGACCCAGCTAGTCTACTTGCTTAGATTACTTAGGGCAGTACACTCACACAGGGCACTGAGAATCAAAGATAGTGATGGATGAATGTGTTGGAGAGACAGACTATGTGTTCTTCCTGGGAGACCTGTCTTTGCAGCTGCTGTTGTTCGGTGAGCAGCTTAGAGTTCTGTCTGCCATTGCCTGAAGGAAAGAAAATCTGGCAAAGGAAGAGAGAACATGCCATGTGAGGGATGTCAGTGTAGTGACTTTCTTCTTTAACCTTGTTACAGGGGGCGCTTTGGTCTGTGGCTAGATGCTGACTTATACCACGGACGCAGTAACTCTTGCAGCACTTTTAATAATGATATCCTCTCCAAAAAAGAAGACTTCATAGTTCAGGACCTAGAGGTATGGACATTTGAGTGACATTTAGGCTGCCTTAAAACATAACATTAAAAAGACTGGGTCAGACAAGCCCTCTTACTGGAAGACGAGCCCCAGCCCTGGCTGCCTCATCCCACAGCATTGCTTTCTTTCTGCCATCATCTCAGAGCGTGATAACAATGCAGAAAGATTCTGAAAGGTACCCGCCAAGGGCGGATGCTGAAGACAGAAATCTGAAGTCCAGATCGTTAAGAGACTTTGAACTTCCACTGCTTTCAAATCCTCACCATGAGAAAACAGAGTGTTTATAGATGTATGAGTTGAATGCAATTTTTATTTTTGGTAACTGTGAAAAAAAAAAGATACTGTGGAAATATATACCTGCCTTGTGTATTTATCAACATAATTTACCAAATGTATAGTTATTGTTTGCCATGGATGGAACACTGAATCTGATTTAGAGGAATTGAAAGGACAGAGCACTTAAAGGGAATACCTGACTTTTTAACTATTTTATTTATTATTGCTAGTATATTGTCAGAAATATGTTGGCATTTTTTCTTTTAATGTGTCAAATCCCGAAATAAAGAAATGTGTACCTTTTGTGCTTATGTTTGGGGAACAAGTCTCTTTTGACTTGTATAGTTTGATAGTCATTTTTTTTTCTGCCCTGATTATTTAGGGTGAAATAGTCTTAATGTCTTAAGACTATTTATCTCTCTATATATGAATTTTCCAAAGCTCATTACCAATGTTCATTGATATAACTATTATAGAACAGCTTTTTGTTTATGTTTTAAAGTACACTTTCATGCCCTAAGCATTTTTGTGAAGCAGAATTTGACGTCTCTCACAGTTGTAAGTTGGTGTTTATCAAAACGGGAACCTTTATCAACATGGGCATACAACAAACCCCATTTTTGGAAAGAGAATGTTTTGCTTCTTATGAAATTGTGTAGTAATAACTAACTTAGTTTCTTACTTTTCTCTTTGCTTTGATATATATATATATATATATATAGTTTCCTTCCAGGTGTTTACATTAATGAGTAGCCCTCTGTTTTAAAGGGGAGTGTTTATTTTCTCCATTTTTAATGTCAGATGAAAATGTCAAGTTGGACCAATTTTCTTGGTTTCTGGAATTCTATTGGGGAAAAAAATGTAAAAAATTGCATTTATATCACAATTGAAAGAAAAAAATCTATTTTTAAAAATAGAAACTCATTTTTCACACCATAAGACATCTTTTATTTTAATCAGTAAGAAATAAAATTATTAACTTGTTGATTGCCACCCTGTTATGAAAGCCAAAGACTACTAATGGGAAAAAAAATTTTTTTAAATAATAGCCAAAGCTGAAAAGTAGTCTATCACAAATTATTTCCCCAGTGATCATTAAAAGGAAAATTAGCACACTGTGTTTACATATCTGTTTACATTCAGAATATTGTCTTTAAATTTTTCTTCTATTTTAGCCTCCTTGTAAGAAAACAAAATGTCCAGTGACCTCTGTCGGGTCACCAATTGTTATACTCGCTGCCATTCCATGCTAGTTTAAATGAATGCTCTAAAATTTTAAATCTGTAGACCAGACACACTTTCCACCCAAGTTTTCCCATTGAGGACTCTTGGTTAAAACACACATAATTTGCATTTGGTCTGCTCATACACATGAGTCGGTGAGATCCCAGGAATATCTTGTGGTGACTATGTTCACCATTTATGCCATTTGTAACCATATGCTGTTAATGAACAAGATGGCTATTTTGCCTATAGATCACTCTTACCTAGTTTAGTTCATGACGCTATACTCGTGAGAGCATATCCAGATGCTGTATTCTCTATTTAAAACAGTATTGTCTGAGCAGGAATGTGTGATCCTTCATTATGGATATCAACTACATGTAATGCAGTGCTATTCCGATATTTTCAATAAAGGAATTTATGCATTCAGTGTGAATTTCTTTCCTGAAGAAAATTCATTCATCAGCCATTTATTTGGTACAGCCCAACCTCAGAGACATGACAGGATCCATTTTGGGGCACATGTCATGCTGTTTTTTATATCCAGCCCTGTAAGAATTGTGTTTAGACTATCTCATAGTCTATTAAGCATGCAATGGCATAAGGATTAAAACAATGTACATACTTTAATTACAAATACTCCATTTTGCTCCTGGAGAGATGGCTCTATAGTTAACAGAGCTTCTTGTTCTTGCTGGGGACCTGAGTCACTTCCCAGCTTCTATGTCTAGCAGTTCACAACTGCCTGTAACTCCAGCTCAGGGAAATTGTATTCCTCCACAGGCAACTGCATTCATGCATGTGCATGTACATAGACAGGTACACTCACAGTCTCACCCTCATAAACATGCACGTGAAAAATAGTAAGAAAAGTCATTTTTTGAAAACTGTTTCATTATTAAAATTTTCAGCGATTATCTCGGCTGTTGGGAAAATGGTGTCCATAGACCTGTTTGCCACAAACTTTTTGTTTGTAAAGAGGTGCAATGTGTCCAAGGCACAGAGCACTGAAGTATGATGAGGCATGCCTATTTGAGGGTGTACTAGAGGGAAGAGGAGGAAATAACCAGTAGTAAGCTGTAATCAGTGAACGTTTTTATTGTCTTTGGCCTTGCATCCTAAGGTGTCTGGCGATTGAGAGTAAAGCAGGCAGGTCCTCCTGCTTTGAACAATGAGGACATCCAGGAAGTGTTTGTTGGTGGTCAATGGATCTTTCTACAATGATGGAGATGTACCACAAATTTTATTTCAGAAATAACCATTTGTTTATTTACTTATTCAAATATATTTGTACAAAATTATGAATTTCCTTATGACATTTTACAAATACACTGTGTGTGTTGCTCATATGTGTCTTCCATCATCTCTGTGTCCCTCCATTTCCTAAATGGTCCCTTCTGCTTTCACGCTGTGTGCATATGTGTATGCCTGTGTCCATGGCTGTGGGTGTGGATGGGTGTTCTTGTACACACAGCTATTTAGACAGCACATATGAGGAAAAATATGCAATATTTTTCTTGATTATTTTGCTTAACATAATGCTATCCACTCTTAACTTTTCCTGCAAGAACACAGTTCCTCTTTATGACTGAATACTATGGTGTATGTGGAACACATGTTCTTTATACAGTCTTCAGAGGAGAATGGGTAATGAAATGGAGACTGAAAGGACAATATAAAGAATCAGTATAGCAGAGAGTTGGTCCTTTTGAAAGATAAACAAGATTGACAAATTGCTCGCCAACGAGAAGGAAGAACCAAGTTAATAAAGATGAAAAGAGGTATGTCACCACAGTGACTAAGGAAATCCAGAGGCTCATTAGAGGATATTTTTGAGAACTCACATTCCAAGAAATAGACCACCTAGAAAATAAGTGGGTAAGCTTCCTGAAATATAGGATTTACCAAAAAATGAATGAAGACAAGAGAAACAAGCAAACCTACAATGGCCACTGAAGCAGTACAATGTCTCCCCGCAGATAAAGCCCATGACTTTATTTTTATAAATATATTTTAATAATTTCTGTCAGATGTAAATTATACCAGATCTTTGTTCTCTATGAGAAGAACCAAATACATACTTCCACAAAACACTTGAAATGTGTCTTCAATGGTGGATGGACTTTCATAATTTATATAATTTTAATTTATTTAAAGTCAAATAGCCATATGTGACCAGGGGTTACTATAGTTAATTGCACAGCTCTAGTGTAGGATGTTAATGTTAAGACTCAGTGAAGTTTGAGTTCCCCATGAGAAGAAACTATTTCTTCACACTTTGATGAGTTTCTATCATTATGTGTCCTTGTAGTTTGGTGCCACCCCAAGGTTTTAGTGTATCTCCCACTAGCTAGCTAGTCAGTTCATTAAAAAGCTAGTGAGTCAAGTTCCTGGAACCCTTCACATACTGAAAAAAACTAGCAGGTCTTTATAGGACTATTGAGCCCTATTCCAAACTAAAGGCAATTAATCCCCTCACCGTGCCCCTTGTCTGTTTATCTTATGTAACCATTGCACATGTTTTGGCCCTAGTTTAGACACACCACACACCACTGAATGGCAGCTCTGTAGGGACTCCATACTCTTGACAAGGCATAGATCCACAATTCCTAATAGAGCATGGGGAAAGAAAACAAACAAACAAACAAACCCAAAAACTCAGTTATTACACAGAATTAAATGTTCATTTTCAGAATTATTAAGAATAATGAGCCTGGGGGTGGCAATGTTGGACAGTGGAGGCGTACAGGATGAAGAACAGGTGGATCTCTGTGAGTTTGAGCCAGCATGGTCTACAGGACAGGCTCCAAACCCACACAAATAAAAAAAAAAAAGAAGAAGAAAGGAAGAAAGAGAATAACAAAGCACCAAGAATGTCTTACATAGCGCTGTTCAATAGCCAGTCATCCTTAAAAATATTAGTCTTCATACCCCTAGCCACATGTATAGTTTTCAGTATCAACTGTTACATGAATTTGAATGAAGGGTGATGAAGCTATACTAGAAACCATGAGGTATATAACCTAATACTATACTCTTTTAAATGGACATAGTTTTAAACCAAGTCCTAACTTACTGTTATACCCATGGATTAATGGATTTCTCAACCCTCATCAGAGATGCTTCTATTTAAGTAAATTGTTTTTAACCCACAGGGGCCATGGTACAGTAAAAAGAGACTGTACAGATACCACATACCTTCCCCAGGCTCAGGATCATTGTGGGAGCAAGGGCAGAAAAGGCCTAAGAGCCAGGGATAATGGGTGACTATAAGGAAATAGTGTCTTCTGGATACAGCAGGGTACTTTACATATGAACTGAGTAGTTGCGACAGCATGCACAAGACATGAGCAAGCCCAAGCCAGACCAAATCCCAGGGTAGCTGGGCACTGGTCCCATGAATAGTTGTGAAGCTCTTGGCAATTTCTAGCTGCTGGGGAATGGAGTCAGTTTTCTCTAAGGGTGTAGCTTCTGGGAATTTGGCTATACCCCAGTGGCTGTACCACACATCCAAGAATATTTGGGCAGCTCAAATTTCTCTTAGGAGTTTAAACAAAACACACACACAAAGTCAGATGGATGTGGATGGGGACTGGATTTCAGAAGAGTTGGGAGAGGCGAATGTGATCAAAAAGGCATTGTGTGAAATTCTTAAAAATAAAGAAGAACTGAATTTGTAAAAGTTGAATACGATGTGTATGTGTGCCTATACAACATGATTTTTTTGCATATGTTAAGAAAAATACATAAAAGATAGTTCTAGAGCCTCAGGAATTTACTATATTGGCAGTGATTCCAGATTTCCAAAATTGCTCCCTGAGAATGATTCATTTGAATGAAGATCAGACTGTCAGATTTTTGCACTTTTCAGCTGTGATTAGGAGAAAATTAAATGGATGTGAGTAATTAGATTATCCTGTTCTGTCTCACTGTGACTTAGGGAGGATACATTTTAGACAATTTTTTTTCTTTAATTTTACAAGGGATCTTTTTATCAGGACACACATGACATAGACAAAGTTGTGCTGTGCCTGATAAATGTTAGCTGGACCTTAAGACTTCCAAATACTAGTAAAAGTTACTTCAA